GGTTCGATATCAGTCTTGAAATGAAGAGTTTCTGTTCCTGTGTAGTTCAGAAAAGGTATCGAGCATTCTACCACTGTCAGATTCAAAAATGTTGCTTTTGTTATTTCGTGTTCTCTGGCTATCCATTCACTATTGTGATACTGTAGGAAACAGAGCAAAAAGATGTGAATTTATTATTGGAGATCATTACATACAAATATTTCAAATGATCCATATATTTTTTAGGATAGATTTTAATTAACGTAAAACTGTAAGACAAATTTGTTTAAATGCATAGTAGAAAGGAAATCATGGATTTTAACATGATATAATCTGAATGAACTAAATGGAATGGAATGAGATAATGCAGTTCAACAAATTGTGTTGCTTTTGGATACTCCATTGTGCTTCAAGTTCATAAGGAATGATAGACCTGCTACCTCAATGTCCAGTAAAAATCCTGATAGTGGTAAAATTTTACAAGATAAAAAGTATAAAAAATAATTTTAAATCCTGTAGGATAATTTTTTGAAGGTATGTTTGAACTGGAGACCAGGACACATTTACATTGAAGCATAAATTAGTTATGGACAGTGCTGGAGGGAAAGGCAAGGTTAAAGAGGGAGGGGTTACAGTCCCTTTTAGATTCCTGCAGAATAAAGTATATATATGTATGATTGGTTACAGCAAAATATTTGATTGGGTAAAGAACATTATAGAGAGCCAGTTTGGTGTAGTGGTTAAGGCATCAGGCTAGAAACTGGGACACTGTGAGTTCGACTCTTGCCTTAGGCATGAAACCAGCTGGGTGACCTTGGGCCAGTCACTCTCTCTCAGCTCTAGGAAGCAGGCAAGGGCAAACCACTTCCAAAATCTTGCCAAGAAAAGTGCAGGGACTAGTTCAGGCAGTCACCAGGAGTCAACAATGACACGAAGGCACACACACACACACACACAAAAGGCAGCACATTATATTAGTGAGGTCAGTGAGGCAGTTAGGGTGTAATTATGAAGTAATGGGACAGAACTACAATGACAGTTGGGGTTTTGAAAGAACAAAGAGGAATTATTCTCTGAACATAGTTTCTTTCTATGGAGTTAATGTTACAGGGTTTATCAAACTGTCCCTGTTCCCAGAGTCTATGTTTGCTTCCTAGTATCTTTTCTCAGCCTGTCAACATTATTTGGCCTTTTAAATGTTTTATAGCTGAACTGTTGGCTTAGTTCCTCTGGGAAACTTGACACCATATAGCTGAGCTAGTAATTTATTTTCCCTGGGAAGATGTACTTGGGTTAGGGGCTTTTAGCTTGACCCCCCAAATTCTCCTTCCATCCAGTGAAGGGAAATAGACATGCTAATAAGGCACATATACAGTTCAGAAAGTTCTCAATCTATTCATGGTCTGGAATGGTAATTAGCAAAAACATCATTCCAAGGATCCATTTGCCCGGTGGGAGTAGAGCTAAACAGGGACAAGCTGCTCCCCAAAGTTCTTGCATGAATAGCTCCTGAAAATATATTTTCACGTTTATGCAAAATTCTAAAAGGCTACTTTATGCTATATGCATAGTTACAAAACCCTTTTTTTTTTAAAATTAACCTTTCTACAAAAGTCCCTGAAGGGATGGAAAACAATTAAATAAATAAATAACAGTGAAGAAATGAACCACATAAACACATTAACATTAGAACAATAAAATACAGAAAACAATTTAAAGCATTAAATTGAAACAATGTATGGTCATCACACATAATTATAGAGGAAGGCAATTCCATAATCTGAGAAAGTCTTCCCCCACATCTGAGGAACAGGACTACATGATCATGATGTCCTTGAGAGGGCAGATCTAAGAGGGCAAACTATAAAAATAAATAAATAAAAATAAAAAGCCATTGTGTTCAACTGACCCTGGAAAACAAACATTGCACATCTTTCAGTATTTCCATAAAATGTTATATCAATGCCATGTACTGACTAATATTTGAGTTGCCTCGTTTAAAATTAGTCAGTGCTTTTAGAGCTCTATGTAGAATACACTGTAAAAAAAAAGTCTAAATAAAATGTAGCCCCAACATGGGTAACTGTTGCCAAATTGAGGACAATTGACAAATGGTCTGCTACATGTAATTGTGCAAAGACATTTCTGGCCACCACTGAGGGCTGGAGTGTCCTATTCAACTCCCAGTAGAATAGAGTTTATAGAATTTTATCCTCCCTGGAATCTTGCTCCTAGGCCAAGCTCCTGTTTGTGGCGGGTTCCCCACCATCACCACCACCACCACCACCACCACCACCACCTTGGGGCAGGAGGAAAAAAATATTGCTCTCAGAATGTGACAAAACAGTCTGTGCTCTGTGCAGGAAAATAAAGTGAACAAATGATCACCCTCAACTTCCTCCCATGCTGAAAAATATGGGTTGGATGTAAAAGCCTTGCATCTGCAATTGATCTGCCATTGACCAAAGGGCAGGCAATCAAACAATAGCTCCTCCTCTGTTCACAGCACCACCAACTGAACACCATCAGATTGAAAAGATGAAAGTCACTTTTATAATGCTTCCAAGACCTAACACCGTTAGGCAATCCACTATTTTATGTTTATTACTGGTGGTGTGTTCCGGCCCTTTGGACTCAGATCCAGGCCCTGGGCCGCAGACCCACAGAGGCCCTGGCTTTCGGCTGCTGCTTCTCAATGCTAGGTCAAGAAGCTGCAGCTCCCCCTTATATATGATTTTATTACTGAGGAGCAGGAAGACCTGGCATGCATCACTGAGACCTGGCTAGGCCCTGGTGGGGGATGCCTGACTGGGTTCACACTGTGGCACCAGCCAAGAGCCCATGGCAGGGGAGAAGAGGTAGTGGTTGTTATCTGGGAGTCTCTGTTGGCCTTCAGGGGTGCTGCTCCAGAACTGGCTGATTGTGTGACCCTGTTCCTGATGTTAGGCTCCTGAGAACAATTGGGATTGTTGCTACTGTACCAGCCTCCCTGCTGCATAGCAATCTCCCTGCCTGAGCTGATGAAGGCCATCTCGGGGTTGGCGGTGGAGTTGCCCAGACTTATGGTTCTGGGGGAACTTTAATTTGCTGTCCCTGGGGCATGCCTCAGAGGCATCTCGGGAGTTCATGCCCACCATGGAAGCCATGGGCCTGTCCCAGATTATTCGCAACCTGACTTGGGACAGTGGTCTCACACTGGACTTGGTTTTCTTGTCAGAGCAGTGGCAATATGATCTGAAGGGGGAGTTACATCTGACCCCCCCCCCCACTGTCGTGGTCAGATCATGTCCTGATGACCTTAAGATTCTCCCATGCTACCCCCCTTTTCAGGGAGGCAGGACCCATTCAACTGGTCCATCTCTGGTGACTGATGGACCAAAGGCAGCTGAGGGTTATACTACCTCCACCACTTGTCAATTAGATCCATGCCCCTCCTGCCTGGTTAAGGCAGCTCGGGAAGTGACATGTGGGTGGGTCCAGGCAATGGAGGGAGTGTTTCTGGCTGCCTTTAAAGAGGTGCTGGTGCACCCCGTCCTCAAGAAACCATCATTGGATTCCACCATACTGGACAATCTTTGTCCAGTCTCCCATCTCCCTTTTTTAGGGAAGGGGTTGAGAAAATGATCGCATTGTAGCTCCAGAGGATCCTGGATGAAACAGATTGTCTGAACCCTTTTCAGTTGGGTTTCAGGCCTGGAAACAGCATTGGTTGCATTTTTGGATGATCTCTGGTGGGAGCGGGATGGAGGTAGTTCATCCATCCTTGTTCTTCTTGACCTCTCGGTAGCTTTCAATACCACTGACCATGGTTTCCTTTTGGGCTGACTTGAGGAGTGGGCAGCCCAGTTTTGTACTGGTTCACTTCCTTCCTCCAAGGCCAGTCCCAATCAGTGTTGTTTGGGAGCGATAGGTTCGGCCCATGGCCTCTCTTTTGTGGGGTACTGCAGGGTTCGGTACTCTCTCCACTCCCTTTTAACTTCTACATGAAACCACTGGGTGAGATCATCCACCACCATGGGATGAGCTATCATCAGTACACAGATGATACCCAGTTATACATCTCCATCCTAGCTGATATGAGTGATGCCGTGACCACCCTTTCGCAGTGCCTGGAGACTGTGGGGGTCTGGATAGGGAACAACAGGCTTCAGCTGAACCCTTGAAAGACAGAGTGGCTGTGGATTGGAGGGTCCTCTATATTCAGGGGTTTATCATCTTTGGTTCTGGATGAGGTTGTACTCTCCTAGATAGACCCAATGCGTAATCTGGGGGTCTTCCTGGACTCATGATTCCTGCTTGAGGAGCAGGTGGCAGTCATGGCCAGGAGGGCCTTTGTGCAACTTTGTACTGTGCACCAGTTATTCCCCTTCTTGGATCAGAAGGCATTCCAGTCAGTCATTCACGCCCTGGTCATCTCTCATTTAGACTATTGCAATGCACTCTACATGGGGCTACCCTTGAAGAGTATCTGGAAGCCACAGCTGGTTCAAAATGCAGCCACATTTTGGGTGCCCCAAGGATGGCACATGTAACATCTCTGCTGCAGGAGCTGCATTGGGTGCCAGTTTGCTTCCAGGTCCAATTCAAAGTGCCTTTAAAGCCCTACATGGCACGGTCCAGGTTTCCTGAGGGACTGTCTCATCCCCATTACATCGACTTGTCCCACCCAGTCTGGCAGAGAAGGCATGTTATGGATCCCATTGGTGAGAGAATGTCAACTGGCTGGTCCCAGGAGAAGAGCCTTCTCTGCCATTGCCCCCACCCTATGGAATATTCTCTTCCCAGAGATGAGGTGGGCCCCTACCCTCCCAGCTTTTCAGAAGGAATTGAAGACCTGGCTCTGCCAACTTGTGCCTTGAAGATGGTCCCCGAGTCTGATAACTCCTAGTTAACATCAGTTTCTTGGAAGGTATTTATTATTTATATGGGAATTTTGTTGAAATGTATTTTAATTAATATTTATTCTATTTTAATTAAAATTTGTTCTTTTGTTGTATACCGCCCGGAATCACTCTGCAGTGAGATGCGTGGTGTCAAATTTGAAATATAAATAAATAAATAAAAATCCAGTAAGGT